ACAATTAAAGACCTGAAATATTTCAGTTGGTGTGCAATGAATTTGAAATATATGAAAGTTTCATTTTTATCATTACATTATGGAAAATAATGACCTCTATCACAATATGCAACTTTTTTGAGAAGGACCTGTATGCTGAATGGACAGGTTAATCAGTCAGTCCCTGTCTGAAGATCCTCTAAAGCCATGGGTGTCCTTGGAGAAGGATGGGACAGTAATGTGTGGCCACTGCACTTTAAAACAAGTATGTCATGCCACAAACATTCAAAACTTGAAAATTACAGCTAAAAGCAAAGGATAATGTTTAGAGGAGATTATAACAATTAATTTTTTCTTGTTTGACAGTTGGGAATGAGAAAACAGCCAGCCAGACATATGAAGCCATCGCTGGACCACAGCGTCAGGATCTGAGAGTTTGTGACTCCAGACTACACATCAACTGCAGCAGACCATACCTCGGAGCTTCTCCGGACGCTCTGCTCTCCTGCACTTGCTGTGGCAATGGTGTTTTGAAAATAAAATGCCCACATTGTGCCAAGATGCTGGAGTCCTTGGTGCCTCCGTTAAGAAACATTTCTGCATTGATAACACAAAAGGGTCCTATGAACTAAGCAGAGGTCACACAGGTGCACCAGGTACAAGCTCAGTTGTTTGTGACAGAGCGGGAGTACTGTGACTTCATGGTGTGGTCTGGGTCAGATTACTTTATTCAGAGGATTGTATCTGATGTGATTTCTTTACTGAAGCAGTGAAAAATGTAGAAATGTTCTATAGGTCAGCATTTTTACCAGAGCTATTTGCCATATTTTATTTTTAATATTGTTACATGTTTTGGAGCAGCCAAACTAACACAGAATTAAAGCACATGGTTAAGATTCCACTGATGATATTTTATATTTCATACATAACTGCAGATGTAGCAATATTTTTTTCTGTTTCTACAAATAACACCAGTCTTTAATTTTTTTTTTTTTTACTGTTACAATTTCATTGACGTGAAACATTTACAGTATCCAAATAAAGTTGCTTTGATATTTTGATTTGAATTGATTAATGTGTGCGTGTATATATATATATATATATATAT